TTCCTTCATAGCATGTCTCTTCTACTTCTGGAATCCTTGCTTAGTACTTAAATCCAAGTTTCATATTGTCATATTTATATTTAACTATCTATTTCACAATTCATTGTTCATATCTGTATTTTTTCTCTTGATCTTTCCCTGGCTTGAGGACTTCTAATTGTTAGTATGGTTATTTAGTTATTTTCTTGAGTGTTTTCTTCAGTGGGGCATGTGGATGCTATCTTCTCTGAATGCAGGCTCCTCGAATACAGGAACTTTATATTGTTTACTTCTGTGTTCCTAGCACCTAAAACTGTGCCTGGTACATAACAAGCAATCAATATATGTTTGCTGTTTTTGTGGTATTAAATACTACATATTTGCATGTCTGTCTTTCACCCTAAGCATTTATGTTGTTGGTGATAGTTGACCTCTTACACATTTGCAAATATTTTTTCTATCACGCTGAGAACTTAACATCTTGGCCACTGTAGAAATCTTGGTTCAAAGTCCTTTTTTTCTCTTTAATTTGTAGATTTTGTTCTACCATCTCCTACCTCCCACTAGTATAGATGAGAAGTCTGATGCTAGGCTGATTCTTTTCCTTTTGTAACTTGTTCTTTCTCTCTGGCCTCTTCTAATCTTTTTACTATGTAGTAGGGATTTACCCCCATCAATTGTGCATAGAAATCATGAACTGTTTCAAGCTTCAGATTGAAATCTTCTTTTTAACCATAGAAAATGTTCTCTCTTATTTTTGTAATTATTGCCTCTTCTTTATCTGTTCCTTTTTCCTGATTTTGGAATGCTTATTATTGGCATATTAAGTCTCTTGGCTTTGAATGCTAGTCTCTTATCTATTCTTCCTGATTTTCATGATTTTGCTTTTACTCTGTGTGAGAGATTTTTCATCTGCTTGTTCTTTCAGGTCAATAATGTATTTTCCCAACCATTCTTTCTTTTAGTTACCCTTAACCCATTGATTTTTTTTTGAGACAGAGTCTCACTGTGTTGCCTAGGCTGGAGTGCAGTGGTGCAATCTCAGCTCACTGCAACCTCTGCCTCCCAGGTTCAAGTGACTCTCCTGCCTCAGCCTCAGCCTCCCTAGTAGCTGGATCACAGGTGTGTACCACCATGCCTGGCTAATTTTTTGTATTTTCAGTAGAGATGGGGTTTTACCATGTTGGCCAGGCTGGTCTTGAACTCCTGACCTTAAGTGTTCCACCCATCTCAGCCTCCCAAAGTGTTGGGATTACAGGCATGAGCCACTGCGCCCAGCCAACTCATTGATATTTAAAGTTTGAATACCATATTCTTAATGCCAAGAATTAATAAGTTTTGTGTTTCCTTGTTTGCTCTTCTTATTTTAAAAATAAACTTGTGCTCTGTTTCCTCCAGCAGTCCTGTTTTATTAGGGACCATCTGCTTTAGTAGATCTGATTGGTCTGTCTCTCTCTGGTTGCTGGATCCTCTTAGGTACTAGCTTATTTCCGTTTTCTATTTTCTGCTTAAGCTAGGTTAAGCCTTTCCATAGTTAGAGGCACAACAATTTGTACTCTGGCATTGGGTGTGAAGTCTCTGTGTTTCTAGGTACCCCTAAATGCAAGTGATCCTGTTCTTTTAGTTTCAGGGATGTGGAAGACATCTTCCTACACTTTTTCTAGTAGGATCCAACATTTTAACTCCCCCTGCCTACAAACCAAGATCACGTACACACATGCTCTGGAGGCAGAGCCACCCCTTAATCAAGTGTCCACAGTCCCCTCAGGCCTAGTTCTTCCATGTTTTCACCCCAGGGCTCCCTGCTCTTGCTCCTGTAGCCCCCTTCAGACCTGGACATCCCCACAGAGTCTATAGCCTTCAACAGTCCTCAGGTTCCTCCAGCTCACTCACCCTAGACAGCTGAAGGCTGGGGGAAGGAAGAGTAGCAGAGATCAGAGATGCAAAATCCTTACCCCTTTCTTTATGGTTGTTTGTTTGTTTGTTTGTTTGTTTTAGACGGGATCTCACCATGTCATCCAGGCTGGAGTGCAGTGGTGTGATCTCAGCTCCGCTGCAGCCTCAACCTCCCTGGGCTCAGGCGATCCTCCCACCTCAGGCTCCTGAGTAGCTGGGACTACAGGTGCACACCATAACACCCGGCTAATTTTTTGTACTTTTTTTAGAGAAGGGGTTTTGCTATGTTTCCTAATCTGATCTTGAACTCCTGGGCTCAAGCAATCTGCCTACCTTGGCTTCCCAAAGTGTTAGGATTACAGATATGGGCCACCGTGCCCAGCCTTCTTTAAGTTTTGATAAACAATAGCCTATATTTTTGCAACTGCTTTACACTAAACCCAGTGTGAATAAGGTTATGTGAATTAATGTGTAAGAAAATATTGGAATCTTAGAATTGGAAATAACATGGTTGGCCGGGCACCGTGGCTCACGCCTGTAATCCCAACACTTTGGGAGGCCGAGGCAGGCAGATCACCTGAGGTCAGGAGTTCGAGACCAGCCTGGCCAACATGGTGAAACCCTGCCTCTACTAAAAATACAAAAATTAGCCAGACGTGGTGGCAGGCATCTGTACTCCCAGCTACTTGGGAGACTGAGGCAGAATTGCTTGAACCTGGGAGGGAGAGGTTGCAGTGAGCCGAGATCACACCATTACACTCCAGCTTGGGCAACAGAGTAAGACTCCATCTGAAAAAAAAAAAAAAAAAAAAAAAAGAGAGAGAAATAAAATGGTCATAATAAAATGAGTCTCTTAATTTTATGTTGCTTTACCAGTTTAATGCAGTTTTATACACATGGTCTCATTTGAGTTCCAAAATAGCTTTGTGTGGTAAGTATGGAAGTTATCATCCCCATTTGACAGACAGGAAAACTACAGCTCATACAGGTTAAATAACTTGCCCAAGGACACATGGGTAATGAATGGACCTGGACCCGGGAGTTCATCTTTGTATAACACTATGCCACTGCTTGTTTATTTGTTTGTTTCCAGTTGCCTTCAGAACATGTTACATTGAATAAATGATTTCTAAAATCCCTAAATTATATACTGTAACCTGTATTATATTTTTCCAATTATATTGATATGAGCAATTTAAAATGTATATACATAATAGGATATAGAGTATAAAGTAATAAGATTTTAAAATGTAGTTTGAAATCTAACAAAAGAGGAATTTGAAAATCATTTGTGGCCGGGCGCGGTGGCTCATGCCTGTAATCCCAGCATTTTGGGAGGCCGAGGGGGGTGGATCACGAGGTCAAGAGATCGAGACCATCCTGGTCAACATGGTGAAACCCCGTCTCTACTAAAAATACAAAAAATTAGCTGGGCATGGTGGCGCGTGCCTGTAGTCCCAGCTACTCAGGAGGCTGAGGCAGGAGAATTGCCTGAACCCAGGAGACGGAGGTTGCGGTGAGCCGAGATTGCGCCATTGCACTCCAGCCTGGGTAACAAGAGCTAAACTCCGTCTCAAAAAAAAAAAAGAAAATCATTTGTGGCCTGGCGCGGTGGCTCACACCTGTAATCCCAGCACTTTGGGAGGCCGAGGTAGGCAGATCACAAGGTCAGGAGATCAAGACCATCCTGACCAACATGATGGAAACCCCATCTCTACTAAAAATACAAAAACTAGCTGGGCATGGTGGTGCATGCCTATAATCCCAGCTACTTAGGACGCTGAGAAAAAAAAGAAAATCATTTGAAGAAGATTAATATTACTAGAATATATGTATTATTTCCTGAAGGTTGCCTTTTTGTTTTTCTTTTCTTTTTTTTTTTTACATATAGTCCTACTCTGTTGCCCAGGCTGGAGTGCAGTGGTGCAATCATGGTTCACTGCAACCTCCGCCTCCCGGGATCAAGCAATTCTCCTGCCTCAGCCACCTGAGTAGCTGGGATTATAGGTGTGCCCCACCATGCCTGGCTAATTTTTGTATTTAGTAGAGATGGAGTTTCATCACGTTGGCCAGGCTGGTCTCAAACTCCTGACCTCAAGTGATCGGCCTGCCTCGGCCTCCCAAAGTGCTGGGATTAAAGGTATGAGCCACCATTCCTGGTGAAGGTAACCTTTTTAAAGGAGGACATGCATTTTTATATATGAGTAGTACTGAAATTTGTCTCTTTGTAATGTATTTTTAAAACATTTGAATTTGTCTTATGCAGTAGAAGCCATGCAATAGAGAAATAGCCATTTCCCTATCAAACATGACATTGAGAAAATGTAACCATGTTACATGAGTTTGTTTTGTCTTGGAGCTTTATAGTCTAGGACTAAATGAATAATTAGCTAGTATAAAGACCAGACCTTTGTTCTGATCTCTGCTGCTTTTTATGCTAACACTGTGTTTAAAAGTATTATCTCATACTCAAGAGTGATATTAAAAATACTTAAAAACCGATATGGCCGGGTCAGTGATAATTGAGAATATATGCCGGCTATGCCACCTGGTGTAGTTGCTCGCTGGCAGTACATCCGACCTGCCCAGTCACATCACATAGCACCACTCACTTGCCTGAGTACTTTCATTTCCATTATCTCAGGTGATCTGGGAAGGGATATAGTGCCATCCCTATTTTGCAAATTGGGGGAATCACATCCCCAAGAAGCTGATGATACGGACCCTTAGAATAAAAGATTTCTGGCTCATAGTTTGGTGTTCTTCCTTGGATAGAAGTTTTCCTCTTTTCAGAGGAGAAGGAAGAGGTGAGAATAGCCATGTTTGATAGGATAAATATCAGCTCCTTTCAAAGAAAACTCATAGTAGGTAGTGGGTGGAATGAGCACCCGCCCCCATCCTCCCTGGAATCTTCCATTCCCAAATGAATTTGTCACTTTCAGGGCCTTTCCAGGAGATGCCTGCCCTGAAAGAGTAAAACTGGCTCAAGCGAGAGAGCAGATTTTTCCTGGTGGAAGAACCTGACTCAGCCTCTTTTCTCCAAATTAACAGGGATGTTATGTACACAGCTTTACTTTAAAAGTACATTCTGTCAATTGCTTGTTTTTCCCTTTCTCCTTCCACAGAATGGTCTCCCCTCAGGGAGCAACCCATATGTTTTTAATGGTGACTTTGTAGATCGAGGAAGGAATTCCATGGAGGTCCTAATGATCCTGTGTGTGAGTTTTCTTGTCTACCCCAATGACCTGCACTTGAACAGAGGGAACCATGAAGATTATATGATGAATCTGAGGTAACCTAGGCCTTTAGATTTTCTCTTTTAAAAGCTTCCCACTCTGGGAAATGCTGCCATATCTAGTTCCTAACAGAGATAAAATGAGTATATTGGAAGAGGGATGAGGGAAATCTCAAGGAGGACCTCCATTCTTCCCCCTTTCCCCACCCCCATTCTTCTGCTGAGTGTCAGTTGCTCTGAAACTCCCTTATTTTATTTTCTTCCAGTTCTGTCCTTTCTTTTCCCTTCTTTTTTTTTTTTTTTTTTTTTGAGATGGAGTTTCGCTCTTGTTACCCGGGCTGGAGTGCAATGGCGCGATCTCGGTTCACCGCAACCTCTGCCTCCTGGGTTCAGGCAATTCTCCTGCCTCAGCCTCCTGAGTAGCTGGGACTACAGACACGTGCCACCATGCCCAGCTAATTTTTTGTAGTTTTAGTAGAGACGGGGTTTCACCGTGTTGACCAGGATGGTCTCGATCTCTTGACCTCGTGATCCACCCGCCTCGGCCTCCCAAAGTGCTGGGATTATAGGCTTGAGCCACCGCGCCCGGCCTTCCCCTCTTTTATGTTCTTTCTCTTGCTCCCATGTCCAACCTTCACAGGCTAAATTGTGTGTTGGGTAGGTGTGTTACGCTGGGTTTGGAGGTGTGGTAGGTTCTCGAAGCAGACTTGGATGGAATCGTTCTGTTGCTACTGCTGGCTTGCCTCAGATGTTGTCTCAGAAATTAGTTCCATATTTTTCATGGATGTGTGTATTTTTTGATGACATGGTAATTGCTGCTGGCATCGTTGCTCATAAACATATTTATGAACACAGCATTTCAACTATCTAACCCACCGGAAACTTGAGGAATAAAGATGGGTTAGATGGTTTAAGGGTCTTTGCTGAAAGGCACAGTAGGTGACAAATGTTCCCTTTTCCCTTCTGTTTTTCTTCTTCTTTAAAAAAATCTCTTGTTTTATGAAAAACAGAGATCAGTTTGCTCTAGGGCAGTGGAAGATATGGCATGTCTCATGCTTTTGGTCCTGGGCTTTTGGATGCCTTGGTCAGAGCTCAGCAACTGATTAGTTTTGTCTTTGGGGAAGTTTTGGTATCTGGCTTGAGTACAGAGTTTGAATTCTAATTCTCAAGATATGGAAGCAAATGCTAAAACTAGGAAGGAAAAAATCCTAGGACTATTATCAGAGGCCCACTATATATAATATAGTTCAATACGTTTATTTAGGCATGCTGTTTACCCTTATAGCCTATCATATTTATCTGGTGTCTATAATGGTTAACGAAGGAGACATGGCCCCTGCCCTCATAGAATTTACATCTAACAGCGAAGAAACATGTTGAGTAGGTTTTTCAAGTGTGATGAGTTTGTAAAGGGGGAATTCAACCTTGTTCGAGAGATGATGGAAGGTTTCACTGTAGAAATATGGCGTTAGCCTGAGATCTGAAGAATGAAGTAGGCATTCAAGAAAGAGCTGTAGAGGGGATGGGAATGTGTTCTGCAGTGAGGGGACAAATTATGCAGAGCTTAGGACAAGACTGTTTAGACGTGAAAGACGTTCAGGAGGGCAGGGGCATAAACTGAGGGACAGGGTGGTGCCTGATAGGGCTGGAGACATAAGAAATGATTAGATGGTTCAAAGGAATTTGGACGGACTTCTAAGGACAACAGAATGTCACCGAAGAATGTCATAAAATTTGTGTTTTAAAATGCAGTAGGAGGAGAGAGTTGGAGAGGGGCAAGAGTGGATACATGCTGGTCAATTAGGAAGTAGTTGAAGGTTAAAGAGATAGATAACGGGTTCTCATTTAGACTAGGGTGGTGGTGATGGAGATGCAAAGAAATAGATTCAAGAGGAGTTTAGACAATTATTTAAGGCTCAATAACTTGATATGGGGGAGCTGAAAGAGGAGGGAATCAAGGATGACCTCCAGGTTCCCGGCTTGAGTTTGGGGGTGCAGCGGCATCATTCACTGATATTGGGAATGTGGAAAGAGGAGAGAGGTTGGCATGAGGGGCAATGATGAGTTCAGTTTGCAGTATGCTGATTTGAGGTACTACTGAGTAGGCGGTTGAATATACATATGTGTCCAGAGATCAGAAACGAAGTGTGGCCTGGAACGTCATCCTGTGGTATTCACACTAGATAATAACTGAAACCCCGGGCAGGGATGAGATTCCCAAAGGAGAAAGTGAGGGGAGAAAAGAGCCTAGGATGGAATCTGAAGGAACTGCAACATTTAAGGTGAGGTGGAGGAGAGCTTGCAAGAGAGGCTCAGGAGAGCCAAGAGGAAAACCAAGAGAGCTTATGGTCACAGAATCCAAGGAAAGAAAAGTTTTCTAGAAAGATGGTAGAGTCAGCTGTATTTAGCGTTTCAGAGAAAGGCCTCTGTTGGATTGAACAATATGGACACCTTGGTGAGTGCAGGATGGAATTCATCTCAGAAAACATGATGTGGCCGGGCGGTGGCTCATGCCTGTAATCCCAGCACTTTGGGAGGCCAAGGCAGGTGGATCACGAGGTCAAGAGATGGAGACCGTCCTGGCCAACATGGTGAAACCCCGTCTCTACTAAAAATACGTTAAAAAAAAAAAAAGAAGGAAAGAAAACATGACATTACACTGTAGAAGCCTGACATAACATGATTTGCGTGGAAAGCTGGAGTGAGTGTGTTGCATTTCATCTTCACAGTGTTGGATATTAAGGGCACGTACTGTTTTCCTAAAGCAAAGAAAAGTAACAGAAACATTGTCATCATTGAATCTCCCTTGGCTACTGCTATTCAGGCATTAAGATTTCTGACACTTTCTATTAAAACCCTCAATACCATAACCGGACCTATATCAGAGAGAGCATAACAAGCCAACTTATTACTTTCTAGGCCTTTCTCTTTTTCAGTCTTTTCTTTTTTCCAATCATTTACTATATAGGATGTCTGAGAAATTCTGTCTAATGAAAAGCCTTCTCCCACACGGCTTCCCCCAGCTCCCACAGCATGCTTCTCTGCATACTTGTAGTGTTTACACAACCTGTACCTACCACATATTTCTTAAGTGGTCTTGTAATTGTTTCATAGAAATCTGCCTTCTTTCCCCAACTATACTATAAGCTCCTTGAGGGTAGGGATGTTGTTGTTGGTTGCTTTTATTCTTTCCAGTCATGCCTAGCAAAGACTCAGGTAAGTAATACCTCCAACTGAAGTCTAGTTTCTTGAGTTCTTGGTGCTTGTGTTACTGAGATGCCAAGGGCTCCCTTTTTTGCATGACTCATGGAAGTAGGAGTTATCAACAATCAATTAAATCATTGAAATCCCATTTTTTTAGGTATGGCTTCACAAAAGAAATTTTGCACAAATATAAGGTAAGACATCCTTTTTTTTTTTTTTTTTTAAGTATTCACTTTGCTGTTTCTATAGAGAAATTTTAAAAGAGCCAATAAAGACCAGATTGATGCTTTAGGAAAGGTGATAAGCCAGCTAGTCAAAATGCATGCCAATAAAATACAAGCACAGCAGGAAGCCGTGGCCACAGTAGAGTGTTATATTTTCTTTCTGGATTAAACCACACTTTTTCATTGTGAGTTTTGTATAAGTTTTAACATAGATAATATTTCATTGCCTTAAGGGTACCAAGGATTTGTTTTACTTAGGTGTGGTAAAACATGCAGGCACAGAAATGACTGTCATGAAGGAAGAGATTTTTATTTACAGCTCTCTAGAAAAGGGAGGTACTACATACCACTCTGGGGGACAGGGTGGGGAAGCACCAGAGTTGGTCAGAAGGCAGAGGGAGGCTGGGCACAGTGGCTCATGCCTGTAATCCCAACACTTTGGGAGGCCAAGGCAGGTGGATTGCTTGAGGTCAGGAGTTCAAGACCAGCCTGACCAACATGGTGAAACCCTGTCTCTACTAAAAATAGAAAGATTAGCTGGGTGTGGTGGTGTGCGCCTGTAATCCCAGCTACTCGGGAGGCTGAGGCAGGAGAATTGCTTGAACCCGGGAGGTGGATGTTGCAGTGAGCTGAGATAGCGCCACTGCACTCCAGCCTGGGTGACAGAGCGATGCTCCATCTCAAAAAAAAAAAGAAGGCAGAGGGAGAGAGGGGAAAACACAGGCAACAGCCTTGATTGTGGTTTTTGTGGGAGGGAAGGCAGAGGGGAGCATCTGAGGGTAATCTAGTTTAGGACTGACCAGTTTGAGTAATTTCAGGCTGCTCTGGGCCATAGAGGTTGTCTCTAGTTGTCTGGTACCTGGCCAGGATGAGGAGGGCAGGAGAAGAGTGGCCCTGAGTGTGAGCTCCATGAAGAAGGTAGCTGGGGTGTGGGCTCTGTGTTGGTTGGTTTGCATATGAAGGGCGAGTCATTGACTATCTAGGAATTAGCTAGCCCTGGGAGGGACAGTCTCTCCTCCAGAGTCAGCAAGGCCCCAAGATGTCATAGTACCAAAAATACAAAATAAAGGGCCAGGCGCGGTGGCTCACACCTGTACTCCCAGCACTTTGGGAAGCCGAGGCAGGAGGATCACCTGAGCTCAGGAGTTCAAGAGCAGCCTGGCCAACATGGTAAAACGTTGTCTCTACTGAAAATACAAAAATTAGCCAGGTGTGGTGGCGCATGCCTGTAGTCCCAGCTACTTGGGAGATTGAGGCAGGAGAATCGCTTGAATCTGGGAGCAGAGGTTGCAGTGAGCCAAGGTGGTACCACTGCACTCCAGCCTGAGCGACAGAATGAGACTCTGGCTCAAAACAAACAAAAAAAAAACCCGAGAATAAAAAGACATGATGAGTACATGCTAATTGGTTAGTGACTCCTTGCTGACTTCCTCTTGGTGGCCTGAAAACAGTTACTTTTTATCCATGTGTGGAAACTATTCAGCAAACTGAACCTATCAGAAAAACAAAACTTACTCAATCTCTTACTTACAGATACATGGAAAAAAAATCTTACAAACCTTGGAAGAACTCTATACCTGGCTCCCAATTGGTACAATCATTGACAATGAAATCCTGGTCGTACATGGTGGGATATCAGAGACCACAGACTTGAATTTACTCCACCGTTTAGAGAGAAACAAAGTAAGAAGTAATGTTGGCACGAATCTTCTCTCAGGGACTTAGAAGGGAATATCCCTCTTTTCATTTATTATTTTGAATTGATTTGTGTTTTAGTGGTTATAACTCTAAAAAGACTAGAGTATAAATTTTATTAGAGTATATAAAAATGTAAATTTTAGCCGGGCACGGTGGCTCAAGCCTGTAATCCCAGCACTTTGGGAGGCCGAGGCGGGTGGATCACGAGGTCAAGAGATCGAGACCATCCTGGTCAACATGGTGAAACCCGTCTCTACTAAAAATGCAAAAAAAAATTAGCTGGGCATGGTGGCACATGCCCGTAATCCCAGCTACTCAGGAGGCTGAGGCAGGAGAATTGCCTGAACCCAGGGGGCGGAGGTTGCAGTGAGCCGAGATCGCGCCATTGCACTCCAGCCTGGGTAACAAGAGCGAAACTCCGTCTCAAAAAAAAAAAAAAAAAAGTGTAAATTTTAAGAAAAATCTATAACTGCATGGTAAAGAACTAAGTGGGTAACTTCTATATATGGAAAAAAATTAATTCATGTGGAGGGTGGAAAAATGAGGAAATGTTGGCATTTTATGTGGTTTCTAAAAGCAAAAAATCCTAATTTTTAAAATTAAAATCTCCATTTATATTGTGGTAAAATATACGTAGCATAAAATTTGCCACTGTAACCATTTTTAAGTGTATAGTTCAGAGGTATTAAGTATATTCACATTGTTGTGCAGCCATCACCATCACTACCATGAATTTACAGAATTTTCCATCATCCCAAACTGAAACTCTGGACACATTAAACACTAACTCCCCATTCTCTCCCTCTCACAGCCCCTAGCAACCACCATTCTACCTTCTGTCTATGAATCTAACTACTCTAGGTACCTTAGATAAGTGGAGTCACTTATATAAGTGCAATTGATTTCTGAGCTGATATGATTTCCTGCCTAATACACATCAAATAACTTAGGATAATTTTTTTGAAATTTTTTTTTTTGAAAACAAATTTTTTTTTTGAGATAGAGTTTCACTCTTGTCACCCAGGCTGGAGTGCAATGGCACGATCTTGGCTCACTGCAACATCCACCTCCTGGGTTCAAATGATTCTCATGCCTCAGCCTCCCAAGTTCCTGGGACTACAGGCGTGTGGCACCATGTCTGGCTAATTTTTTTGTATTTTTAGTAGAGACGGGGTTTCACCATGTTGGCCAGGCTGGTTTCGAACTCCTAACCTGAGGTGATCCATCCGCCTCGGCCTCCCAAAGTGCTAGGATCATAGGTGTGAGCCACCACTGTGCCCGGCTCCCATCTTTTTAATTAAAACTTAATAAGTCTGACCTCCAGACCAGACGAGATCCTCTTTTATATACTGTCAAGCCCCTTGTACATATCCTTCATCACAGTTACCAAATTTAAATAAGAAATTGTGGTACTGTTTGTTTACTATTGTTCTCTGCTTTTCTAGTCCACTGATACAAAACCCCAGCACCTGGTATGTAGTAAGTACTTAATATTTGTTGACTGTCTCCTGGTTTAAGATCAAAGCAGGGCAAACCTAAGACAAAACTGGATAGAAACTTTATTTATTTATTTTTTTTTTGAAATGGAGTCTCACTCTGTCTCCCAGGCTGGAGTGCAATGGCATGATCTTGGCTCACTGCAGCCTCTGCCTCCCAGGTTCAAGCAGTTCTTATGTCTCAGCCTCCCGAGTAGCTGGAATTACAGGCACCCACCATGACACCTGGCTAATTTCTGAATTTTTAGTAGAGATGGGGTTTCACCGTTTTGGCCAAGCTGGCCTCAAACTACTGACCTCAAGTAATCCACCTGCCTCGGCCTCCCAAAGTGCTGGGATTACAGGCATGAGGCACCACGCCCGGCCGGATAGAAACTTTTTTATAGCCCTTTCCTGATTCTGTGGTGATTTTACATACCACCCTTCCCCACCTTCCCAACTGATGACCATGCCTCCTGGCTTACACCTGTTGTCCTGGTGTAATTATTAATGGCACCTCCTTTTAGTCTTTAAAAAAAAAAAAAAGCAGCCAGCCATGGTAGCCCATGCCTGTAATTCCAGCACTTTGGGAGGTTGAGGTGGCCAGATAGTTTGAGGCCAGGAGTTCGAGACCAGCCTGGTCAACATAGCAAGACCCCATCTCTACAAAAAAGAAAAAATTAGCCAGGTGTGGTGGCACACACCTGTGGTCCCAGCTACTTGGGAGGCTGAAGCATGAGGATTGCTTGAACCCAGGAGTTTGAGATTGCAGTGAGCAATGATCATGCCACTGCACTCCAGCCTGCATGATAGGGAGAGACCTTGTCTCAAAAAAAAAAAAAAAAAAAAAAAAAAACAAAACTCCAGTTGCAATAAAAGTTAAGCCCACCCTAAGTTTAAGGTACCTTTCTCATGGTATCAGTGAGTAGTCAAGCCAATAAGACATTTTGATCAAGATACAATAGTCAGTATTAACATTGTGAGTAGGTGAGATTCTAGCTAACAGCATAAGGGAACATGATGTCTTTGTCAGTCAAATATTGGTGAACATAGGGCATGAATGCCACACTCCACCACCACCTGCCCTATGACTATGGTGCTAATCAGTCATGGCAGCTCTTCCAATTGATCAGATTGAAAACGTTTGCTTTCCTGAGGTTAGCCTGAGCAGCCAGCTCTATCGAGGGCTTTCTGGGATATTGAGAAGATGCCTCTGGGATGTCCCTCACTAGCTCTGTGGAGATCCCACCCAAGTTGAGAGCCACCTTAACATGGTGAAGACTGTGAGAGTCTAATTAGACAGACAGAACTAGGTTAACATCCTTTCTCTGCCACTTCCTGAGTGACTGGGCAACATACTGAAGTTTTCTAATTCTTGGTTTCTACGCATATAAACTGAAGATAAAAATACTTACCACAGGCCAGGTGTGGTGGCTCATGCCTGTAATCCCGGCATTTTGGAAGGCCGAGGTGGGTGGATCACAAGTTCAGGAGTTTAAGACCAGCCTGGCCAATGTGGTGAAACCCCATATCTACTAAAAATACGAAAATTAGCTGGACGTGGTGGTGGGCACCTGTAATCCCAGCTACTTGGGAGGCTGAGGCAGGGAATTGCTTGAACCTGGAAGGCGGAGGTTGCAGCTGAGATCATGCCACTGCACTCCAGCCTCGGTGACAGAGCAAGACTCCATCTCAAAAAAAAAAAAAAAAAAAAAAAAAAAAAAAAAAAAAAACCCTATCATCTTACTATATTGGATTGTTGGAGGGATTAACTGTAATTATCTATATGAAGAAAATGGTGGCCAGGTGTGGTGGGTCACACCTGTAATCCTAGCATTTTGGGAGGCTGAGGCAGGTGAATCATTTGAGGCTAGGAGTTCAAGGCCAGCCTGGCCAACATGGTGAAACCCTGTCTCTACTAAACTACAAAAAAAATAGCTGGGCATGGTGGCGCACACCTGTAATCCTAGCTACTTGGGAGGCTGAGGCAGGAGGATTACGTGAACCTGGGAGGCAGAGGCTGCAGTGAGCCAAGATCAAGCCACTGCACTCCAGCCTGGATGACAGAGTGAAATACTGCCTCAAAAAAAAAAAAAAAAAAAAAAGAAAGAAAGAAAAAGAAAATAGCATATAGTACTAAACATATAGCTCTCTTCTGCAGTTCTCTCTTCTTTTTTCCTGATACTTGGATCTGAGGTTTGTGTTTCAGTCACCAAGACAGACCGTGGGGAGGAGTTTGTGGGCTAGCAATTTTCTCAGGGTACCTCAAGTTTCAACTGCTTCAGGGATCACTGTTCTACCTGCTCATGAGACTGGTTTTAAAGATAGAAATTCCACTTGCATATTGTTTGTCTTCTGCCCTTCCTTGAGTGAGGTTGAACTGGTAACACATACTTGTTGTATTAAAAACTATAGTGAAAATAACAGGTTCAGCCATTTGGAACTCTATCAGATGAAACATAAAAGTAGATTGTTACAGTCCAATTTTATAACTGCCACTTTCCCATCCCATAGGACCCTCCAGCCCTCTGTGGTAGGAGAGTCCATACTTCCTGGTTTACACTTGTGGTCGGTATGGTATCATTGTTAACAGGGGAGGGGAAGGGTTGGGGGAATTTGATGACAACCTGTAGTCTAGGTTTATTTAAGGCATTTTGTATGGTGGGCAGGTTGAGGGGGGTCAATGCAGAGGGACTAAGGAAGGAAGGAAGGAAGATTTTGTAAGACTAAGATTCTGGTTTAGTGTTCTTCAAACTTGCTAGCAAGGCATGTGGGGAAAGATGGCTACCAGGACTCCCCGGGGGGAAATGGTGGTATAGTGCCTTAGGGAGAGTTGGGACAAAGTATCCTGATCCCAAGTGGACTTGCAAACTTCACAGTCACATATATTTAAGAGACCATGTGACCCTTGCTCAGTGAGCTCATCAGAAATGAGTTGTGTACAGCTGGGCATGGTGGCTCATGCTTGTAGTCCCAGCACATTGGGAGGCTGAAGTGAGAGGATCTCTTGAGATCAGGAGTTTGAGACCAGCCTGAGTAACATAACAAGATCCCATCTCTACAAAAAAAGAAGAAGAAGAAGAAGAAGAAGTGAGTTGTGTGAACGCAAGTCTAGAGGGTCCTCCCAGAATATTCTGCTCTGCCTAAGACCTGCGGACATTTGCTGGCAGGAAACAGGGCAGGTAGGCTGTGAAGTCGCTAGTAATAGCTGAGATCGAATTTCTACCTAGCTCCATGAGACAGGACCTCAGAATAAAATTCAGTTTTATTTTTTAAAAATAAAGGTAAGATTTCCTATGTACCCTAGTTTGTAAAAGAAACTAAGTGGCTACCACAGAGAATTTGTCTATCACTGAACCATGGCCACCAGTATAACAGAAGTATTGTTTAACATTGTTTTGTTTAAAGAGATGGTGCTACAAAGAAACAAGTATAAAATGACAGTCCCTGCTTGTGTAAGGGAACAAGAGGGATTCTAGTAATTGATGCCCTATGAGAAGGACATCTTGTTTTCCAAAGAAACACTGCCGTTTTTGTTGCCAGGATTAGAGAACATCGTCAATGGCTGGCAGAGTCAGGCTGAGAACCACACTGCATTTAGGTTGAAGGGCTTCTGAAGTTTTCAACCTATGTCCCCTTTAAGAACTTTCTTGGACACAGATGTACCTTTTCTCATTTCTTCTGGAAAGCATAACAAAATGCACAGCAGCCACCCTCTTAAGAGATGTTTCTGAACTCCTAAGACCCTATGGCTAAAGGCTCAACAGGAGCCTAGTTGCCTCTACCTTAGCATCTTCCATTTTCTGAATGGATGCCACAGAATGTATCTAACACCTACATAGAAACTCCAATGAAGCGCACAAAGTCTTTCTTTATAGGGCAATGACTGTAGTTGGAAAATGTACCAACAGACTGTAACAGACCCACCTTACTGACATCAGTAGATCAGTGAGATGTAGGAGGTGGGCGAGATGCAAAAAGTAACCGTGTGTTTTTCATTGGGTTGTGGCACCACAATATAGACAGAATCCCAACTGGGACTGAGGTCTCTGTATGCGGCAGAATAAACAGAGGGTTGGACTAATGCGTGAATCTGTTTTATAGATGAAATCTGTGCTGATGCCACCAAGAGAAATAAACAAAGACTATAACACCGACTCGAAGCACAGTAAATTAGGTGTGACTATCAGTGCACATGGGAGAATCAAAGCAAGTGGATTGTCTTCTGAACACTTACCAAAGCATGAATGGGAACAGGTAGGTAATCAAGGTGTTCACTGGACTGGCAACAATGACACCAACATACATGTTGTCCCTTACAATATAAAAATAAAAGGTGACTTTACAAGCAGACCACATGATTTTCTCGGAATTCATCACTATGTATCTATATCTATATATAGATATAGATACTTTTTTTTGAGATGGAATCTTGCTCTGTCGCCCAGGCTGGAGTGCAGTAGCGTGATCTTGGCTCACTGCAACCTCTGTCTACCGGGTTCAGGCAATTCTCCTGCCTCAGTCTCCTGAGTAGCTGGAATTATAAGCCTGTACCATCATGCCTAGCTAATTTTTGTATTTTTAGTAGACACAGAGTTCCACCATATTGGCCAGGTTGGTCTTGAACTCCTGACCTTGTGATCCGCCTGCCTCAGCCTCCCAAAGTGCTGGGATTACAGGTGTGAGCCACTGTGCCTGGCCATCACTATATTTTTAACAGCTTTATTGAGATATAATTCACATACCATGTAACTCACCCATTTAAATTGTATAATTCAATGGTTTTTAGTATATTCACAGTGTTGTACAACTAGCATCACAATCTATTTTTGAACGTTTTCATCATCTGAAAAAGTAACTACCTACCTATTAGCATTATTCCCCATTCCCTTCTGTAGCCACCCAGTGCCACCTAATAGCCGTAGGCAACCACGAACTTACTGTTTTTATAGATTTGCCTATTCTGAACATGTTGTAGAAATGAACACATGTAATCTTTTGTGTCTGGCTTCTTTCACTCAGCACAATGTTCTGGAGGCTCATCTATGTTGTAGCATGTCAGTACTGAATGTCTATTTGTTGCTGAATAATATTTTATTATATGGATATACGCATTGTATTTATTCATTCATAAGTTGATGGACATTTGGGTTCTTTCCACTTTTTGGCTATTATGAATAATGCTTCTATGAACCATCACATACAAGTTTTTCTGTGCATGTATGTTTTTATTTCTCTTAAGTGTATACCTAGGAGTAGAAGTACTGAGTCATAAGGTAACTCTAAAGTTTAACATTTTGAGAAAGTCCCAAACTGTTTTCCCAAGTGGTTGCACCATTTTACATTTCCACTAGCAATGTATGAAGGTTCCAATTTCTCTTCATCCTCTCTAACACTTGTTATTGTCTATCATTTTGATTATAGCCATCCCAGAGGGCATGAGATGGAATCTCATTGTGATTTTGATTTGCATTTCCCTAATGACTAATTATGTCAAGCATCTTTTCATATGTTTATTAGATATTTGCAGATTTTCTTCGGAGAAGTGTCTATTCAGATCCTTTGCCCATCTTTAAAATTGAGTTATTTATCTTTTTATTATTGCATCGTAAGAGATTTTAAAAATATATTCTAAATACAAATCCTTTATCAGGTATATTATTTGCAAATGCCTTCTCTCATTCTGTGGGTTGTCTTTTCCCATTTCTTGATGGTGTCCTTTGCAATACAGCAGTTTTTACTTTTGATGACACCCAGTCAAAATGATATCTTTTTTCTCTTTGGTTGCTCATGTTTTTAGTGTTGTATCTAAACCATTGCCTAACCCAAAGTCACAAAGATCTGTTACTTTGTTTTCTTCTAATAGTTTTATACGTTTAGCTCTTAAATTTAGGTATCTGATCCATTTTGAGTTAATTTTTGTGTGTGGTGGGAGGTGAGATTCCAAATTCATTCTGTTTTATGTGGATATTGAGTTATCCCAGTACCATTTCTTTTTTTTTTTTTTTTTTTTGAGACGGAATCTGGCTCTGTCACCCAGGCTAGAGGGCAGTGGCGTGATCTCGGCTCACTGCAACCCATGCCTCCTGAGTAGTAGCTTGGATTAAAGGAGTGCATTACCACACCCAGCTAATTTTTGTATTTTTAGTGGAGACAAGGTTTCACCGTGTTGGCCAGGCTGGTCTCAAACTCCTGACCTCAGGTGATCCACCTGCCTTGGCCTCCCAAAGTGCTGGGATTACAGGTATGAGCCACCGCCCCCAGCCACCAGCACCATTTCTTAAAAAGACTATACTTTTCTACATTTTCTTGACACCCTTATCAAACAATCAGTTGACCATAATAAAAGAGTTTATTTCTAGACTCTTAATTATATTTCACAATCTCTATGTTTATCCTTATGTCAATACTGTACAATTTTGATTACTGTAGTTTTGTGGGAAGTTTTAAAATTGGGAAGTGCGAGTTCTCCAACTTTATTCTTTTTCCAGATTGTTTTGGCTCATCTGGGTCCCTTGAATTTCCATATGAATTTTAGGATTAGTTTGTCAAAAAGCAGCTGAGTTATTGGTAGGGTTGCCTGGAATCTGTAGGTCAATTTGAGCACTATGGCTGTCTTGGTATGTCTGTTTATTTAGATATTTAATTTCAACAGTGTTTTGTACTTTTCAGTATACACGTCTTGCTCTTGTTTTGTTAAATTTGTTAAATTTTGATGCTATTGTAAATAGAATTGTTAATTACATTTTGGATTGTTCATTGCTAGTGTATAGAAATATAACTAACTTATATACTGACATTGTGTTGTGAACTTTGATAAACTTGTTAGTTCTAATAGTTTTTAGTGGATTTCATGTTATCTGTGAATAATTTTCCTTCTTCCTTTCCAATCTGCCTTTTCTTTTCCTTTTTGCTTAATTGCCTTATGTAGAACCTCCAGTACACTGTTGAATAAAAATGATGAGAGTAGATATCTTTGTCTTGTTCTTGATACTGGGGAAAGCATTCAGTCTTTCATCAAGTATATTAGCTGTGTATTTGTTTGCAGTAGCCTTTTATTACATTGAAGAAGTTTCCTTCTGTGCTTAGTTTATTGAGTGTTTTTATTGTGAAAGTATTAGATTTTGTCAAATGCTTTTTCTGAATACATTAAAATGATCATGTGTTCTTTCCCTTTATTCTATTAATATAGTATATTACATTTATTGATTTCAGTTGTTAAACCAACCTTACATTCCTGGGATAAATCCCACTTGGTCATAATGTATAATCCACTTTATTTTATTTGTTTACACTTTATTTTATTTTTTATTTTTTCCCTTACATTCCTGGGATAAATCCCACTTGGTCATGATGTATGATACACTCTATTTGTTGCCCAGGCTGGAGTACAGTGGCATGATCTCAGCTCACTGCAACCTCTGCCTCCCGGGTTCAAGTGATTCTCCTGTCTCAGCCTCCCAAGTAGCTGGGATTACAGGTGCCTGCCACTACACCCAGCTAATTTTTTGTATTTTTAGTATAGACTGGGTTTCACCATGTTGGCCAGGCTGGTATCGAACTCCTGACCTCAGGTGATCTGACCGCCTTGGCCTCCCAAAGTGCTGGGATTACAGGCATGAGCCACTATGCCTGTCCTTATAATCCACTTTATATGTTGCTGGCTTCCATTTGCTAGTATTTTTTGAAGATTTTTGCACCTATATGCATAAGAGCTATTGGTCTATGGTTTCTTGTGATAGCTTTGTTTGATTTTGATATAAGTTTAGGCTCATAAGAGGAATTGGGAAGTATTGTCACCTCTTCTATGTTTTAGAAGAGCCTGTCAAGGATTGCTTTTAGTTTTTCTTCAAATGTTTGATAGAATCCATCAGTGAAGCCTTGTGGGCCTGGGCTTTTCTTTGTAGGAAGTTTTAAAATTACTAATTTCAGTCTTTTTCCTTGCTATAGTTGTATTCAAGTGTTTCGTTTCCTTTTGAGTAGTTTGTGTCTTGGTAGTTGTGTCTTTCTTGGACTTTGTTCATTTCATCTAATTTATCTAATTTTTTGGTCTAAAGTTGTTTGTAGTACTCCTTTATATTTTTTTTTCTCCTGAAAGTTTGATAGTAATACTCCCTCTTTCATTCCTGATATTAATAATTTGAGTCTCCTCTTTTTTTCTTGGTCAGTCTTACTAAGGTTCATCAGTTTTCTTGGTCTTTTTGAAGAACCAACTTTTAGTTTTATTGATTTTTCTGTGTTGTTGTCTATTCTCTATTTCATTTATTTCTACTCTAATTGCAACAGTGGAGGATGTCCAAGTTCTTGGTGTCTTGAACAATGAATCAGACAAAATGCACAAACAAAGCAAGGGAGGAATGAAGGGTTCTATTGAAAATGAAAGTACACTCCACAGTGTGGGAGCAGGCCCGAGCATAGGGGCTCAAAGGCCCTGTTACAGAATTTTTGGGAGTTTCAGTACACCCTAGAGGATTTCATTGGTTACTTGGGGTACACCCTATGTAAATGAAGAGTTTGAAGTAGAGTTACAAAGTCATTTTCAGCTTAAGCCCTGTGGAGAGGATATTTCCTGTTACAGCTGAAGTGTGAATTGGCCTTATGTTCCCTGCCTCCAGACCCTATTTTCCTGCTTCTTCTTTTATTTTAATGGAGATGTGATCCCCATAAATCTTTATGGGAGCCAGAAGGACTGATGGTCTTTTTCTGTAACTGCTTCATGCTGGCTTGGGGCATAGTTCCTACCTATTGGGGATCACGGAACTCTCACCCTGCTCTATCTAGTGGAGACAGAGTAGCTTCTTGATGGCCAGAGTAGCTTCTTCACCTGGAACTGGCTGGAGCCTTTGTTGCATGATTAGCTGAAGCTTGATGGTCTCTAGGTGAGAGGAAATGAATTTGGTTAAAAGATTTAATGGGAACTTCAGGGGGTTGATACCTAGGCTGTCAGAAATGTTTGTTATAGAGATTTGCAGGGAAAAAAACCAAATCTGGTCTGTTCTAGAATCTGTGTTTCCTTAAAGTCTTAGCACAAGTGACTCCATTTTGGTTTGGTTTGGTTTGGTTTGTTGGGGCTTAGTGCATGAGCTCAGTCCAAAACAATGGCCTCCCAGAATTTTGTTAAAAAAAATTATCCTTTTTTGGTCAGGTTCTTATTTAGTTGAGAGTATGACCAAAACTTAGGGCCTCAGTGCCACTCTCAGCTATCATCATTATGGGTTTCCGGTCTTAGCACGTCATTGATAGATTATGGTGTCCTCATGGTTGCTCATTTCTTTCAGCTCCTGTTATTCCAGTTGAAGAGAGACCATATGACATTCTAGAGATGGTTGCATGCAAGCATTTAAAACCTTTGAGAGAATACAGTGTACCAGGGAGACTATTAT